ACCTGAGCCTGTGTCCAGTTGCAGGTGGACAGGGAACCCAGAATGTCCCCTGATGTGTGTCTACAGAGCAGAGCCACTGACCTGAGCCTGTGTCCAGTTGCAGGTGCACAGGGAACCCAGAATGTCCCCTGATGTGCGTCTACAGAGCAGAGCCACTGACCTGAGCCTGTGTCCAGTTGCAGGTGGACAGCGTCTCCACAGTGTCCACCGACAGGTTGAGGGAGCGCAGCTCGGAGGGGGAGAAGCCCTGAGCCAAGCAGCCCAGCTGGAGGAGATGCTCTGCGGTCAGGGAGGAGGGGACTCCCCAGGCCTGGACAGACGGATAGGGAGGGTCAGGACACAAGGACAGGGGAAGGATACAGGCAAGATCTGAGGAATCTCATTTGGCTGTCCAGACTCTTCCCTGTGCCACTTGAATGAATGAAATTTTTCCTTCAGATCCAGGAAACGGAACTGTGAAGAGACCCACAGCAGATCCAAGGAGGCAAACGGGGCAAGGGGAAAAACTGGACAGCAGGACAATGCTGATGCAACACTAATTCCTCATTAGGTGAGGAACGGAGCAGCGATCAGTACCTGGACAGACTTGTTGCGCAGTGCGGCCAGCTGCTCCACGCTGAACCCCTTGACCGTCCCCAGAGTGGACAGGCTGTCCTTGAAGGTCTCAGGGGTCATGGAGGCCAGCTGCTCTGGGGTCCAGAAGACATTGCTGTCGCCCAACTCCAGGATCTGCTGCAGCGTGGGAGTGCTGGAGACTGGGAGACAGACAGGGAGAGACAAGAAGACAGAGAAAGGGATGTGGGAGAGGAGAGAGGAAGACAGGAAAGAGTACAAGAGGGCGTATTTATCATACATATATACTGTATTATAACTAAAGACACATAAACCCCTGTTTCCAAAAGTGAGATTTAAGCACCCCATTCCTCAGCTCTCCCCTCCTCCAAACCCCATTGCTCACCTGCGCGTCTCTTGCGCATACTGCCAGGGGGCGCTGTGATGAGAGAGTACAGCTTCCAGCGCAGTGCTGTCAAGTTCAGCTGGCTGCTGTATTCTGTGGCTGTCGGCCCTGATGGGGGAGCGGGCAGGGTGTCCAGGAGGTCCAGCAGGGTAGTTTTCAGCCAGGTCTGTCACAGGTAAGAGCCAAAACACAGAGTCTGACTGGGAGCAGCAGAGCAGAGCAGGACCAGAGAGCTCTTTCTGACT